GCACCAGAAAACACATAATGAAGTGAGAGATAATGTGTGCTATGAATGTGGGAAGTGCTTTACTACAGCTTGGAATCTGAAACAGCACCAAATGATTCACACTGGAGAAAAACCTTACAAGTGCTCATATTGTGACAGGAGTTTCACTCAGTCTGGAAACTTGAAATCACATGAGCGAGTTCACACTGGAGAGAAGCCGTACTTCTGTACTCAGTGTGGAAAGAGTTTTACTGCAGCAGCAAATCTAGAGACTCATATTAAAAAGCATTGTTCTGTGTCAGAGTGAGCAAATGTTTTCTACAGATTCAATATTTCAAGTAAATATTGTGAGATTTAGATACAGAAAATATGAGATTAACTCAAATGATTAGTTGAAATGTCACAAGATTTGTGGAGATATATTGTTTTTATATACATAAAACATTTAAGATATGTATTTGTAAGTTTCTCTGCTACATAAAAGTTGCACAAGGTGTGTATAATGAAGCAACTCTTCTTCTTTTCTTTTTTTTCTAAATTGGGCACCTGATGGCTTTGACCTTTTCCTGTCCATCTCTGTGTTTATTTGGCACTCGACAATCAACAGATTTCCCATCCCCCCAACACTGTCACTCACGACCAGAAGTCAGGACTAAACCAATTCACCTTGGTGACCACATAATCGTTTTGTATATACCTATTTTTACTAGTCATTTCACACAATTCAGAAAAACAAAAATGTGCAGGAACTATAGGCCTGTATTTATAATATTATGAATGAAATGTGCGTTATTTGGAAGAAAGTCGAGGTGTGACTGACTTTAGCCCACTAATTCCATTAGAGTATTGCTCTATACAGTGGATCAATCCCCCCTCCCCGTTCCATTTGGGAGAGACCCAGAGGTGAACTGTCCCCCACGCCGCGCCCCGCTCCCCTTTCCTTTCCTCTTCTCACTCAGCTTCTGTGCACGGCACCTTCTCAGCAAGCAGGGGCGCCAATTTGCCAATTCCCCACACAGTGAAATGATAGATAACAGAAAACCGCTTCGCAGCGGCGGCGCAGAGGATTTATTATTTTTTTTAACTGCTCGTGCCGTCCCCCTTGTATCATGAAAAAATGCCGCCCCGGGTGGCTGCCCGGTTCACCCGTGCCAAAAACCGCTACTGGCTGTGCGAGACACTTTTTATTAAGGATGGGCACTTTTTTTTTTACTTCTTTTGGACTGATGCACTGCAACACCCACTGAGTGCCATTAAACAGCTTGAAAGATCAAAGACAAATTTTAATATAACTCCGACTGGATTCGTCTGAAAGAAGAAAGTCATATACACCTAGGATGACTTGAGGGTGAGTAATTTATGGGCTAATTTTCATTTTTGGGTGAACTAATCCTTTAAACATAACATCGCATCACATAACATCAATTAAACTACAAAGCTGTCGCAGAAGCATGTATAATTACAAACTAAATTTACTATGACTGTTATTTATTTCTAAAGTAACCTCCACGTAGGATAAAAGTATGGGGGAAAGTCGTTTCTGCGACAACTCTAGCTATCCGAGGGCTGGGCGATATGGGCAAAAATTCATATCTCTGTATTTTTTGGCCAATTTCCGTTATATATCTCTGTATTTTCGTTTTTGTATTTAAAAAATCTGTATTTAATATGTTGTCCAACAAAACAATAGGCTATATATTAAAGGCTATGAAAACAAATAAAGTGAATGTAACCATGTAAGCCTTTATATTATGTGCAAAAAAGGGTTAAAATCACATTTCATTCAAACATTGTAACATTGATTGCAATATAAAAACAAATATAAGGCTTTTAAAGCAGAAGTTAAATTCATTAAACTAAAAATGAAAACAAATGAGAACAAAAGCACAGAGTTGTGTTAGGCTATTGTGATTACCCCATTGCAGTCACTTTACAGTCAGTGCTATCATAAAAATAGACTTACTTGTAGGTTTAAAATTCTACATGTCACATTTATTGTCCAACTACAAATATTTCAGCGAAATGTATATTTTAGTCAGAATTATTGCGCTCCTATTTAATTGAGCTCCGTCTGTTTGGTGCGCATGCGCGTGGCGGTGCTCGTTTAAGTCTGTGAAGTTTAGTGGAGAATCCCAAAGCAGAAGCCTCATGCACTTCTGACAGAAAAATTGAAATATTTCCATGGCTTTCTAACATTTACAGATGGAGAATATGCCTGTGAAATGTAAGTTATGTCTAGTGTCTCTGGCAGCGGCACACGCACATTTATCCACCTTAAAATGATTGTAACTACTTACTATGTTTATCCAAAGTTGCAAAAATGAGCAAAATCTGTCAAATCATCCGGTTAGGTACTTTATTAGCATGACAAATATTTGTACATTTGTATTGTCAAAGTAATTGCAGTGTTTCTGCATGAGAAAAGTGCAAAAAAACAAAACAGTGTCAACTGACAATTAGTGAAACAATAGTCTGACAGAAACAGAGGCTTAAAGTTTAAATGAGCAGCTGAAAAGCAAATAGTTCCCTGTTCTCTCCTCATTCATTATGATGATGTCTGAGATCTTCTGTAAATTGGCACATTAAGCACATTTCATTGTGTGTCAGCAGACTGAGACAAACTACAGGATCATCACTTTATGTGATAATCACCTATTGACGTGTGTTTTTAATCTTTACCCCTCAGGTTAAACATGATTAAAATACTATACAAGACAGACACCATACCTGCACTTATCATGCTTTTGACATTGAAATAAATAAGCATTTTCATTCAGACTGTCTGCTGTTTTTGTTCAAACCAGGTATATATAACAGAATTCAAATGCAAGGATTATAATTTTAATAAAATGTTATGGTTTTGTCAAAATGTGTTTTCTTTTCCCTGAACCATGTTAAGTGCAAGCCCCGCACCACCGCTGATTTCATTGATCAACTCAATCATTCAGTCAGCTGCCAACAACATTTTTGACTTAATGGGTTTAGTTCACAGCTCTTTCTGGTGAGGGAAATACAAAAATGAAGCAGAAAGCCAAAATATTAAATGTCTTGGATGGATATTTTAGTGAGTAATCCAATATTTCGTAAAGGATGTCAATTACAGGGTGAAAAAAATGTCTTTAGAAAGATTGCAGTATTAATATTTTATTTTTACACAGAGATTTATTGGTCCATTAGTAAAAATCTGTTGAGTTAAGCAATGCTTGTTGCATTAAATGCCAATGGTGATGCTTCAAATTTTTGTTTTTTCCTGAAGTTCGCATGCCTGTAACTCAAGAAGTATTTAAGGATATCTCAGTATGCTTTTATAAACCGCTCTTAAACCTTTGATGAAAAATTGTTCATTTGTTTTGATAGAAAAAAAACCAAGATGCATTTCTAGAATTACCTATCTCTGCGCTGGAATAAAAATAATGATTCTGCCATCTTTATAAAGTAATTTTTTAACCATATAATTTGGCTCCAAGTTCCAGATGAAAATGGTTGTTTTGACCCCCCTCTACAAATTAGTGTATTACTCAGTAAATATCCATCCAATATCCATTTCATTTTTTGTCTTTCATCACTATTTATGCTTGTCTTTCTTCTAAATAAAAAATATGAACCAAACCAACATTTTGAGTTGGGGAAGTTTTGGAAATTTGGTTGCTTTGACACAAAATAACCCTATACTAAGGTTACAGGTTTGTACTGGATTTGTTTCAGTGCTGTGCAGCCGATCACTGTGATTGACACGGCCAATGAAATCTTCTTAATCTGTGGTGGGCGGGGTTTGTGATTGGGTTAAAAAGGTAGGATGATGTGAATATTCCTTACATGACTGGTACAAACTCCAGGTGCAGCAGCTGAAATCTGAAACATGGAGTTTATTAAAGAGGAGATTGAAGACACGAGTGATCCAGAACCATCCAGAATAAAACATGAAGATACTGAGGAACAAACAGGTTGGTGTCCATTCTTGATTTTTCATCATTGACTGCTGAGAAACATTAAAGCCATATCCACATTTTAATTTTATTAACGAGAATGACAGAACTACCCTTTAGCACTTCAAAATCTGATCATTGATACTCGGATAAACATGTGCCCTCTTTTTGTTTCTTCTATTAAAATAGGTTCACTGAATTTTAACCACATCATTTGTTTATTTCAGACTGGATAGAAGTAAAACAGCGAAGACATGAGGTGAATGAAGTGGAGGAGGAACACCGTAATTTCAAAAGAAACCTTTTTAAGAATTATAATCATATTGAGATATCTTTATTTCTTCCTCAGTCACAGGCACGCACTATTTGGGAAACTAATATTTTTGGCATTCAGACAGGTGTTGATAGAGGAAACAAGATACATTTCTTGTTTCAACATTACATCTTCTTCAGAAATTCCTCTTTAAAATACAAAAAAGTTAGCTGTGAAGTTACCCACATTTGCTTTTTGAGCACTGAAAATGTAACAATTTCATATCAGCATATCTCTAGAATTGAACCATATATGTCCTTAAAAATAAGAATACTGAAAGAAATGTTTATTAAGAACCATTAACCACTTAAAAGTGCACTGAGATATATTTAATACTTAAAAGATTAAGATACAGGAGGGCAAATTTAGAAAAAACAATCTCTGTGCTGGAATAAAATAATGATTCTGTGATCTTTCTAAGGTCATTTTTAACCATATAATTTGGCTCCAAGTTCCAGATGAAAATGGTTGTTTTGACCCCCCTCTACAAATTAGTGTATTACTCAGTAAATATCCATCCAATATCCATTTCATTTTTTGTCTTTCATCACTATTTATGCTTGTCTTTCTTCTAAATAAAAAATATGAACCAAACCAACATTTTGAGTTGGGGAAGTTTTGGAAATTTGGTTGCTTTGACACAAAATAACCCTATACTAAGGTTACAGGTTTGTACTGGATTTGTTTCAGTGCTGTGTAGGCGATCACTGTGATTGACACGGCCAATGAAATCTTCTTAATCTGTGGTGGGCGGGGTTTGTGATTGGGTTAAAAAGGTAGGATGATGTGAATATTCCTTACATGACTGGTACAAACTCCAGGTGCAGCAGCTGAAATCTGAAACATGGAGTTTATTAAAGAGGAGATTGAAGACACGAGTGATCCAGAACCATCCAGAATAAAACATGAAGATACTGAGGAACAAACAGGTTGGTGTCCATTCTTGATTTTTCATCATTGACTGCTGAGAAACATTAAAGCCATATCCACATTTTAATTTTATTAACGAGAATGACAGAACTACCCTTTAGCACTTCAAAATCTGATCATTGATACTCGGATAAACATGTGCCCTCTTTTTGTTTCTTCTATTAAAATAGGTTCACTGAATTTTAACCACATCATTTGTTTATTTCAGACTGGATAGAAGTAAAACAGCGAAGACATGAGGTGAATGAAGTGGAGGAGGAACACCGTAAAATCAAAACTTCAAGAAAAAAAGCCAAACAGCTGCACACCTGCTCACAGTGTGGAAAGAGTTTCAGACACAAAGGAGTCCTTAAGAAGCACATGAGAATCCACACTGGAGAGAAACCATACACATGCCCTCAGTGTGGAAAGAGTTTTACTGATGCATCTGGTCTCAGTTATCATCTGCATGTTCACTCTGGAGAAAAGCCATTTAACTGTGATCAGTGTGAAAAAATATTTATTTCACCATCAGGTCTAAAAAGTCACATGAAAGTTCATTCGGATGAGAAGCCTCATGTGTGTTCTTACTGTGGAAATAGTTTTTCACGACTGGCTCACTGTAAACGGCACCAGAAAACACATAATGAAGTGAGAGATAATGTGTGCTATGAATGTGGGAAGAGCTTTACTACAGCTGGCGATCTGAAACTGCATCAAAGAATTCATACTGGAGAGAAACCTTACAAGTGCTCATATTGTGACAAGAGTTTCACTCAGTCTGGAAACCTGAAATCACATGAGCGAGTTCATACTGGAGAGAAGCCATTTAGCTGTGATCAGTGTGGTAAAAAGTTTATTTCACCATCAGGTCTAAACACTCACAAGAAAGTTCATTCAGATGAGAAGCCTCATGTGTGTTCTTTCTGTGGAAAGGGTTTTTCAAGGCTGGACAGTTGTAAACAGCACCAGAAAACACATGATGAAGTGAGAGATCATGTGTGTCATGAGTGTGGGAAGAGCTTTACTACAGCTGCCTATCTGAAACAGCACCAAATGATTCATACTGGAGAAAAACCTTGCAAGTGCTCATATTGTGACAAGAGTTTCACTCAGGCAGGAAAACTGAAAGTACATGAGCGAGTTCACACTGGAGAGAAGCCGTATCACTGTACTCAGTGTGGAGAGAGTTTTACCGCAGCAACAAGTCTCAGTTATCATCTGCACGTTCACTCTGGAGAAAAGCCATTTAACTGTGATCAGTGTGGTAAAAAGTTTATTTCACCATCAGGTCTAAAAAGTCACATGAAAGTTCATTCACATGAAAAGCCTTATGTGTGTTCTTACTGTGGAAAGAGCTTTTCATGGCTGGCCAGTTATAAACAGCACCAGAAAACACATAGTGTGGTGAAAGATAATGTGCTTTGAGTGTGGGAAGAGCTTTAGCTGTCTTTCTGAAACGGCACCAAAGAGTTCATACTGGAGAAAAACCTTACAAGTGCTCATATTGTGACAAGAGTTTCACTGAGTCTTTAGACCGGAAAAAGCATGAGCGAGTTCATACTGGAGAAAAACCTTACAAGTGCTCATATTGTGACAAGAGTTTCACTGAGTCTTTAGACCGGAAAAAGCATGAGCGAGTTCATACTGGAGAGAAGCAGTACTACTGTACTCAGTGTGGAAAGAGTTTTACTGTATCAGCAAATCTAGAGACTCATATTAAAAAGCATTGTTCTGTGTCAGAGTGAACAAATGTTTTCAACAGATTCAATACTTCAAGTAAATATTGTGAGATTTAGATACAGAAAATATGAGATTAGCTCAAATTATTAGTTTTGCTGTGAAATGACAAAAAAAATTGTGGAGATGTTTTTTTTCTGTATTGTTGGAGAACAGCAAAAGTATTTAGTCCCTTTAATCTTACATTGATAATTTTTATTCTTTAATTGAATGTCTGCTCATTAAGACATTGACCAAAAACACTCAAATTAAACTGAACAAATATGTAACAAAACCCAACAACCAGTCATTTGTCAGTATATGAATCAATTCCCTTAATGAATTTTTGACCTTTCTTGTTACATAAAACATTTAAGATATGTAATTGTAAATTTCTCTGCGACATCAAAGTTGCACGGGGTCTGTATAATGTTGCAAATAAAATGTCCATTTCACTGACATCTCTGGTTATGTGTGATTTTTTTTTGTGATGTGTTAATGTGCCAATTTACAAGATCTCAGATATCATAGTGAATGAGGTGAAAAAAAGGGTTTTAGCAGCTCAGTTGAACATGATGATAGCCTGTCAGACTCTCGACACTAAGTCTCATTTTGGAGATATTATACAGTGTAAATTAAGTACAAATAATGTTAAATATGCACAGTATAAAATCATTATGTCTATGGAAAATTCTAAAACAAGAAAAACCAACATGTATGTGTGTTACCATGAATTTCCAGCAGGTGGCAGCAATACACTAAAGCGTTTTCGAGTTTTCCATACATTTGTGTGACAGGGTGGTGTGCAAGATTGGAACTACACTTCCCATAAATCTACGGGGTAGCATAATACTTACTATAAATAGACACATAGCAGGCTCCTGTCTCATTCCTTCATTGATTCTGCACAAAAGGGTGTGCTAATATCAGGTAATTTGTGCTCGACTGTGTTTTAATAGTGATTTTTAATGGGTTCATTTCAGTGAGAGAGCCGTTTCTGTTTAAAGGAACACTCCACTATTTTTGAAAATAGGCTCATTTTCCAACTCCCCTAGAACCTACCATGGGTGCAGCAGGAAATCTAGAGACTCATATTAAAAAGCATTGTTCTGTGTCAGAGTGAACAAATGTTTTCAACAGATTCAATACTGCAGCAGGTGCAATGATATTACGCAGCGCCTGAAAATAGTCCCCAGCACGCTCCCTGTGCAAGCAGGTGGTCACTTTGGTTATGTTGACGGAAGTTCGCATATTTTCAGGCGCTGCGTAATATCATTGCACCTGCTGCACCCATGGCAGCAAAGTTCCTTGATTATTACGCCGGAATGAGAGTATAGTTCCTAGCCATATCGGCCTAGAAAATAGCAATTTTTAATTTTCTTAGTACACAATGTAACTACAGAAGAGTCAAGTTTTAAATAGGAAAAATATAGAACCTCTCTGGTCATTTTTGAGCGAGATGCTAACGGTCTAATCAGATTCAATGATCTATGCTAAGCTACAGCTAAAAGTGCTACCGCCAGACCTGGAGATCGGCTGAATGGATTCGAAAAGGGTAAAACTCAACTGTTTAACTCTAGGAAAATGAACCTAGTTGGAAAATGAGCCTATTTTCAAAAATGGATCCTTTAAGCAAACAGATTGAGGCCAAGTTGTTTTATGCTGCTCATGTTTAGAATAATATAGACTATGCTATCATGTGTGGAAATATTTAAACCACTTGTGTTACAATTAACCCCGTGTTAATTTGTGCCCTACTCTCCCCTAATCTGTGTCGTTAGGTCATCATCATTTAATTAAATGTGGACATGAAGTATCTTCATATATGTTTTTTTTTTTGTGAGGTAATGAGAATGTGTAAAAAAAAGTAGTAGACTACGTGGGGTGAATAAAGTGGTTTTATTTTGTTTGTTGTGTTTCAGAACCCTGTTTGTATTAAAGGAAGGGTAGGTGATTTGGTTTAAAAACATTTTTTGTTGCGCTGATTGAAAGTCTCTTCACATCCCGATAGCAATCACTAAGTTAAGTGGTCTAAATGTATTTATATGTATTTATATCTTCTGTGGAAGGCGTAGGACCATAAAATGTTCGGTCCGAACATTATGATAGGCTGCCCTGCCTGCCTGCCTGTCAAAATATGTATTTGCATACCTCTATGCACCCTGTTTGCACAGACATGATACGTCATCAGTGTGTTCCAGCGAGAATGAAAGGCATTATTACTGTAATATTATGCGCTTTATTCGGTAATGTTTTCTCAGCGGTAAATGAGACATGAGGTAATCTGACAGCATTGCATTCAACCCTCCACCAACATCATCTCTCATCGTATCACTGGTTAATCTCTAATCTGCCTGAGAGCACGTTCGTATGTTTTGAAGTTGGCATGGATTTGCAGAGTGATTATTCAGGGAGGGTGGGGATCTTGCCTTCAAAGCTAGCTTGCTGTCACTAGCCTTTCCGAAATCACCTACCCTACCTTTAATAGGTTTATAAAAGTTGTCAAAATGAGCAATGTCTATCAATTCATCCAATTTATTTGCTTGGCAAATATTTGTACATTTATATTGTCAAAGTAATTACAGCATTTCTGCATACAATTACAATTACAAAGGCTTGATGATTGATTAAGCTGCCACTATCGTGTTGTCTGAACAGACCAGGATGTGGTGCCCCTTTAAGGCTGGCAGGAAGGTTTTCAGGGCCAAACAGACTGCCAACATTTTGAGGCAGTTGATATGTAGGCATTGCTCGTGGATCGACCAGGAGTCAAACGCCGGGTTGCCCTTATACAGAGCACCCTAGTCCGAGCTTCCTCCTGGAGGTCATTCCCAATTGAACGCCTGACAGAAACAGGTGAGAAGTTGTCCAGGGGGGCCACAGCTTTGATGCAGCGTGGGTTACCCTACACCAGCCCAGGCATGGGACGAAATGCGAGCTCTGAGCCAATACCGGAGGGGCCCCCACTCGTTAGATGTTCTGGGAACATTCTGGCCTAATCCAAGCTCGCATTTGTCTATAACTATCGCTATCTGGGAGTCAGAAAACTCTTGGCTGAATTGATTCCCATTTCAATGCTTCAGGTGGTTGAGCAACAATGACCTGTGAGCAATAAATTCCCATTCTGATCCGACTAGCACCAAACAGTCATCATGGTAATTCAAAATTACGATTCCCATCTGTCTCAGAGGGACAGTCTCTTAAAAGACAGACTTCGTAAAAGTGCGAGGGTACAGGGACAGTCCGAGCAGGACTGTGTATTGATAGGCCACTCCCTCGAATGCGAATTTCAAGAATGGTCTGTGACGGGGGAGTAGCCCAGGTTGAATAGAGCTTCCAACGCTCCTTGTTTAACAGAGGGATGGAGAGCGAGCATGAGCATTCTTTGAGGGAGTTCCGGCCTTGGCGAGAACTGACCCTCTCCTGTTCCTCTCAAAGTGCTTCGCAGTGGGAGCAGCCTGCCCTGAGAGAGCAGCTTCAGCGTGAGTGTGGCCCAGACGCATTCAAATCTGATGCTGTCAGCGATAATAATTAGTGACAGCCAGGAGCGTAAATTTCGTCTAACAGTTGGAGGGGACAATAAACATACATTTTCTCAAGAGCAATTTTTGAAGGGGACACAAATAATACAGCTAAAATTGTACTTGTAAGGATATGTATACACAAAGGAAAGCCTTACTACTATTAGTGCAGCAGGGAGACTGTGCCAAATTAGACAACGTCAAGCTGTTGTGGTCGTGCCGTGACAGCGCTCGTGTCCGTTGTAGACATTACTACGGTTTTCCAGTGGAATTGGGCTACTTTATCACTGTTGCTGTGGGTTGTTTTTCATGTCCGCGGGTTGAAGCGACCCTAATAACGTGTATTTTAGCCCCCGGAATGCGATTTTTACCGGGGGACCCCCTTGAAACGTGATTAGTTTGGGCTAGTTTTGGGCTAGCAATTGGGTGGGTTTTGTTGTGAAAACCTAGCAACCTTTCCGTGAAGCAGTTAGCGTTATTATTGCTAACATAACGGACTCGTTGGAAAATACATTGGTATCATCTGTATTAAAGAGAAAATAATCACTTCATCCGATGTTTAAGTGAATAAAATAGCCTTGACAGCCTTACTTACTGGAGTTCCACAACTATTGACTTTGTTCTCTCTCACCGGACTTGTGTATGTGTGTGTGTGTGTAGGTGATGTAAAAGAGTAAAGCAAGCATTTGTACCAAAGCACTGTGAGGCAAGGGAGGGGGAGACTCAAAATGTTTCTAAACTTGATTTCTGCTTTTCTGTAAGCGCCATCTAACTCAATCACTCAGTCACCTGTCAACAGAACTGTAGACTTAAAGGGGTCATATGATGCTGCTAAAAATAACATTATTTTGTGTATTTGGTGTAATGAAATGTGTTTATGCGGTTTAAGGTAAAGAAAACTCATTATTTTTCACATACTGTACATTATTGTTTCTCCTCTATGCCCCACCTTTCTGAAACGCGTTGATTTTTACAAAGCTCATCGTTCTGAAAAGCGAGGTGTGCTGTGATTGGTCAGCTATCCAGTGCGTTGTGATTGGCCGAATACCTCAAGCGTGTGACGGAAATGTTATGCCCCTTACCATATTGTGATGCCCTGTCCGGCTGGAGCGTAACATAAAACCATGTCTGCATTTGTGATCGGAGAAATGACAAACAACAAGCTCTACACTGCTCAAAAAACTCGCGTTTGAATCATCAGTGGCAAATCCTTTAAATATAAAAAACTTACTTACAGTCTGTGAGTCAGAACAGCCGGCATTGTAGTCTACTCTCCCAGGATCAGGAAACAGTCCTCCATAAAATGCGCTGGACACATCTGAATATTTGG